CCCCCCCCCCCCCCCCCCCCCCGCCAGCCTCCCATCATCGTCCTCCCTCTGGGCATGCACCATTTTTACAATAAAAGAGCAGCTGCTCTGGGTGGACTGGGATTAATACCTGACAGCTTAGTGACCTTGACTGTCTCTCAGAGGCAAGTGTCTGCAAGGCCCGGGGCTGCAGGCCTTGCTCAGACTAGCTGAGCTTGGCGTCAGGACGGTGCTGCTCAAGGGCTCGCGGAGGGGTGGGTGACTGAGGCTGGGCCATTCCCTTCCCAAGCCATGGCCCCTCAGCTCCTGAGCAAAGGGAGCCCAGGCTCCCTGACCTGGTAACATCTATGGGGGAGGGGTGGCCAGCAGGGCCCCTCAGGAGTCAGGGACGGCACCATGGCCGTAATCACCATGGGTGATCTCGGCTCTGTAGCACCTTGGCTCTGTGGATCATCTGAGCCCTTTTTGGCCAGATCCCCCTGTTTCCGAGAAGACATTGACCAGGTCCCCTCCTCCCCTGACCCAAGGAAGGCTCCGACCAGGCATGTCCATGGGCCTAGCTGGTCTCAGAGCAGGCTGGGAGGCTGGAGGGCTGTTCCAACGGTTCCCAGTTCCCAGGGAGGGAGGGAGGCTCAGCACCGGAGGGCCTTCTCTGTAAACCCCCTCATGTTACCTGGAGCTTAAGGTCACAGGGCTTTGCTGGGCAGCTCTCTTGGTTCAGGCTGATGGGGGCTCAGTGACCCAGGCCAGGCCTGCCTCCATAGGCTCTGGGGTCCATCTGCCGGCTCCTCGGCCAGCTTCGGAGGACACAGAGGACTGTGCCCTTTTGGCGGGGGGTGGCGACTGTCAGTTGAAATGTGATGTTTTCCCCTTTCCCAGGAAGTTCAATTTAGAGAGAAGGGTGCTGGTCGTGGGAGCCTCGTGGGTGAGCAGGGGCTCGGGCAGGGGCTCTGGGTGGCTCACGGGGCTCCAGGCTGCTGCAGGAGGGGCAGAGCCAGGGAGGGACATAGCGCATCTCCCCACCACGGGCCTTCAAGCGGAAGAGACAGAGAAACAGACACAGGGAAGGAGGGCACAGGCTGTCTGCCAGAGGGAGCAGAATGCAGCCAGCAGATGCT